GAAAGCCACCCCTTTCGTTGATTTGTATTTGATGGAATTATATTTGAGCTTGACTTGACGGAAAGTTGCAAGTTGAAACACTGCAGCAAGTTCAGTGACGTTGAATAGCGGAGCTCCAAAATATCGGCAGAGGCCGAATCAGCGTCGATTACGTCGCGCGTTGAGTGCTGTGCATACTTGACATCCTGTCCCTGGGCTCTTTCCCTCACAACGCGGTCCCCTTTGTGCTCCAATCGCCGGATATTCCAAAGAGTTATATCATCTAAACTATCTTGGGAGTTGTACAGGTCGCAGTCATCATCGCGTACCGTTAGTCCAGCAGCCAACAACTGCCAACCGCTCTGGGTAGAATCAGAAACCTTCAAGGTGATAGAAATAGTGGGCTGGACTTCATGAACACGGCTCTTCCACCGCTCACAATCCAGACTTTTCTGCACCCGTTTAATCATGTGTATTCTGACCAGAGGGAGCATGGTGATCAAGGCCCTTCTCGACATGTTCGTCTCTCGCGCGTTACACCAGCAGGAGGGGGCTTGATCGCCAGAAACGAGACAGGGACGCGATGTGCAGTCACTGGCAAAGAGTGTGCGTCTAATTCAGCTTGAGATTGGACACTATCTCATACCATCTCAGCTCTTCGAATTTTGCGTGTGTCGCCCCCTTCTGAAGGAAACAAAACAGACCACAAGTCTGCAACTGGTAAAGGAGGCTATCGCATCGACGCATCGCGCAACTTTTGGGATGCAAGCGGTCTGAAAATGGACAGTGCGAGTACCGACATTGCATGGGGCTACGGATGTATGTATGTTCTCTTCTCTTCACGACGTTGCTGATACCTCGCCAGCTTTCTCAAACAAGATCTTGACCAGCGCACGAAATGGCGAATTGATAATGTGGGATATTCATAAATCTGGAACAACCAAGTGTGGTGAGTTGGTCAATAAATATGTTTGCAGCTGACCTTAAACGAGGTGCAGAACGACGGACAAGAGAAACCAATCGTTGCATCAATAGGATGGCCACATCTGTACACGCTCCTAGTTACTGCATCACTGGCGCTGTGGACGGGCAACTGAGAGTCTGGGTAAGAACGTGCACTTAAATTTTGACTGTACCAGCTCATTGATTCTAGGATCTGAAAGATACTACCAAATCCATACTGCGAATAACCCATCCAAGTCAGAACTCGATACGAAGCCTTGCTTTCTCGCCAATTCCATGGAATCCTGTGCAAGCAGTAGTGGGACATGATAATGGGACTATATATCGGTGCATCAACATTATGTTGTTCCCGTTGCTGTTGTGCTAATGGTCAAAGCAAGATGGGATTTGAGAATGGGACAACGTGGCCAACTAGACAAAGTGCCGGTGGCACACAACGGGCCTGTAACGTCTCTTGACTGGTATTCGCCTAGCAGCTCAATCGTGGGGTCAACCGGTGTCACCGCACCACTGGAAGCGACTGGAATGGGCTCTGGATGGCTGGCAAGTGGGGGTCTTGACCGGTGTGTCAAGGTATGGGACCTCACTGGCGATAATGTCCATATCCCACACAAACCGACATACACACTACGCTCCGCGTATCCTATTCGCCGTATCGCCTGGCGTCCGGGATACGAATGCGAGATTGCAATCGTCTCCAACAACGACTATTCGACGCATACTCTTGACGCCCCAGGGAGTTCACTTTCGGGCGGTCTAACCCCAGGCCTAGACGCGATGAAGGTTGTCGATCCAATCAAAGATAAGGCATCCAGTTCTGGAGACGCAATTGAGATATGGGATGTGCGCAGGGGATGGATAGCAAAGTGGCGTGTGTCAGGGTCTGCGAGCGACGGCGGCGCGACAGGTGGGTACTCTGATCTTTACAGGAAGGTGTTAGGTTAATCTCATTTTTTCAAAAGATATTACATTCAATGGCGAACATGTTCTATGGGCGCAGCATGCCAGCGGAACATTTTCGCAGCTTGACCTACGGAACGTAACAAAACCAATAGACACCATCCCACGTGCGGCGGCAACATGGGATGTAACTGGTTCTATGGCCTTTGTTGTAGACGACGTTAACCCTCACGAGGTGCCATACGATGATGTGTAAGCCTCCTACCATTGTAACTTCAACTTGTTGCTAATAGTTGACGACGAAACGTCAGCATGCCAGAGCTGCGTACCGTGTCCGATGCACGGAAGCTGCCGGAGAAGGCACTGGGCGATCTTCCGGTTAGACTTACGACACAGGCAGTTGGCATATACGCGCATGATTTCACTAACAGTGACTCCGAAACGTTCAAAACGCTGGCGAAGAGATATATCTACGAAGGGCGTGAACGACAGGAGATTTGCGCATACAATGCTGGGGTATGGGTTTCTGTATTCGCCAGGTTCCTTTTCAACTCAACATTTTCCCGGACAGGTTGCGTCCTTGGCTGGTCATGAAACAGCCGCAGAAGCGTGGCTGCTATTAGGAGCATCTCTCGCTCAATTTGTCCCACCTCCATTGCAACCTGCGACCATAAAGCTGAAAACAAAAAAAATTCCTAGTCCGCTGCTACCTTCTAGACCCTTTCCGCAACAAACATCGGCAGTGAATGGATACACATTCCCCTCATCTACAAGTATGGGTACTTCTCCTGACAAGGGTAGCTTTGTTACCCGAAGTAGTGCTGGCCAGCGGTCTGCAAGCGTGTCTGTCTCGCGCATGACAAGCTACGGCGCCTCGGCCTCCGCGTCTTCACATTCCCGACTCACCCCTACCTCATCTACGACGTCGTCACCGCGGAATTTGCCCGTTCCATTACCTCTGCTGACGCCTATGCACGGGTCGTTCCTCGGCCGTCGGGACTCCGTCGACGCCACGGCCCCGGGATCTGCTATCTCTAGTTTGATGCTGCGGCGCGCGTCACTCCCGGTGCCTCCGCTCCAAAGTTCAAGCCCAAGCGAACGGAGCATGCGTCATGTTGGCGAGGGCGTGTTAGAAGATTCTGACTCGGATGACAGCGAGTTTGGCGGCGATGGCGAGGACGAGGAAGGTGACGAAACGGCAGGCGTGAATTCAAGCGACGAAGAGGGTCCTGCGGTGGTTCCGGTCTTGTCACCTGGCGTGAGTGTGCCACGCCCATTCCCGACGCCAAGCCCGCTTTCGAGGCTTGCTGGACGACAGTCGTCGACGTCGGACGACACGGAAAAAGAGGATGGCAGGAGTAGGGAAAGCGACGCAGATGACAGCGATGACGACGATTACAATTCGTATGCGAGGCTGCGAGCATTCCATGATGGAGACGGGTCCTCGCCGTCCCCTCAATCCTCCGACACGGGTTTCCCTGGAGGAGAAAATGCGGCCCGGACACGACGCCCGCGTTCGTCATCAAACGCACTCAACACGGTACACCCACGTCGATGGACGTCGGCGCACAACAAAAGGCGCAGTCGCAGCTCCACAATCGCGTCGCTCGCGGTCCCAAGGGCCCTCACTCACCACGACTCTCATAGCAGCATCCGAACTGTGACCGCAGCGGGCGGCGAAACGACGTCCATGCGCAGCGTCGGTGGCAAAGAAGACCGGGAAAATAAGGCGGAGACTGGTTCAATCACGCGCCATCAAGCGAGCGCCGTGGCGAGCGTGCGGCCGAAATCGTCCACAATGTCCGAGCTCGTATTGAATGCGGCAGCAGCGAAGGCGCTGTCGGCGGCCAGCAAGGCGACCGAGTTAGCGGGACAGGTTTCGCCAGAGCGGGCGCAGATGACAGAGCGCCGGATAGAGAGCATCCGCATTGAGGACCGACGATTCAAGGAGACGACGTTAGCAGCACTGAAAGACGCGCTAGAGGAGTTTGCGGACGAGGTACCTCCTCACGAATCGTCCCACTGACGATGATGGTGATTGATCAATGCTCTTTTTTAGGGAGATGTTCAGACGTGTGCAATGCTTTCTCTGGTGGCGCCTAAAGAGTTAGAAATATCGTTGTCGCGTTCGACACGTTTTCTTGACTCCTACCTCGGTAAGGCATACAGCTGTATCAACCCGCGGCAGTAGATTGAAATTCTATCAGAACTTCTCAATCGCATGCAACTGTATACCTGTGCTGCATATCTACGAAAGTACTCCGAGGCGGAGAGCATCCGTAAACCCACTCTAGTGCGTTTATTTCTATTTTCCCAACAAATGGTTTCACTAAATGTTCAATCAAGATTGGGACCACAATCTATAGCTCATGTGGGAAATGCCGCAAACCCTTACTCCGCCCAGCTGGTGGTATTAAGGGCACTGTCGCCAGCAAAGGAGGATACTCATATTGCCTCTCATGCAAAAAATCTCGCGCGATATGTTCCATTTGGTGAGTCTGACGAAGTAGTTTCCATCGCGACTCGTTCTCACCCAGACGTTCATTCGTTATCGCAGTCGCCTTCCTGTCCGCGCATTACTTTTTCAGTGTCCTGTGTGCAACCACGGCGGGCACCAAGAGTGCTACAGCAAGTACTACTCTTGGCAGGCCATGGTAGAGCTCCCTACTGTCTTTACAGCACGGGATAGTCGCGGGCGCTCGTCTATGCGGCAGAGCCCAGGTCTGGAGGACGTTCCAAACCCACAGGCCACCAACCAGGCCAGCAGTCTAAGTGACTTATCGTCGCAAACAGACAGCCACTCAACGACAAGCGTGCAGAGCAGCGTGGCGGACACCACGGCAGCACACAGTCCCGCACAAAGCACTGCGCATAAGCTATTTGGACATCCATGTGCGGCGGGGTGTGGGCACTTTTGCTGGGCGGCAAACATGACGGACGCCGCAGATTTCCCTTGAGCTTTGCCACGAGTTGTGATATTTAATTAATGCGACTTACAGCTCGAAAGCGTTACATTTGGTTGTTGCAGCTTTCAAGAGTCGCGGTTTCTGCTTTTACCTGGAGCAAGCGTGTAATTCTGGCTGGTGCCATGATAGGAAGATCAATGGCGTCTTCTTTTTCCGGTGCACCTCGGACGCAGTATCTTCAAGTCAAACATATCCCTCTTAGCTCAGTGGTAGAGCGCGTCACTAGTAATTCTATTATGAGGAGTTCATGACGAGGTCAGTCGTTCAAGTCGGCTAGCGGGAATTGTGTGACTGCGCAAGCATTTTTGCGTCTAATTTCGTGTCCCGGCTTTCATTTTTCTAGCAGTCGGAGTCCTGCTCGGCCCCGGGCCCGCAGCTATCCCGACTCCACTGTCCATGCCAACAGTCACACTGCTCAAGGCCGCTCAGTTGAAAGCTCATGCGCTCAAGCTTCAAGCTCAGGACTGAAGTCTGAAGAGACTCAAGTGCTCAAGTTCAAACTTCAGATCTTCAAAGCTCAGTCCAACCGAATCGTCTGAACTCTGTAACTGTTGGAACATGCTCCAAAGCCCCACCGCCGCAACAAATGACATCCTAGATTCGCGAAGTAACTCCACTCACCACGGAGAATAGTGACTAGTGACTGTGGACAGTTATACATGCGGGCGTCGCAGAGAATAGCACTTCACTCGCACGAACTGCTTCCCGACGAACTCGGGATGTCATCTTTAGAATTCAAGGAATGATGAGTATTATAATACAATGATGAAGCAGCAATGCTCGTCGACGATGCACAGAAACAAAATATGCAGCCCGCAACACAACACGCTAAAACCCCCTCACGCGAACACCGCGATCGCACCGCGGGGCTCCGTCCACGCCGCGCCCGCCTTCCCAACGCTACGGGGCGTCGGCATCTCCTTTTCGGGTCCCCACACGCCCTCGATGCGCACGCTCACGTGGATGCGCCCACAGCTCGCGACGGGGCACGACCATTCGAACTCAGCCTCGACCTTGGGCTTCCGCTGCACGGCGCGACGCTTCTTCGCCGGCGGCGAGGGGACCGGCACGTTCACGCCCACAGCGCCATCGCCCTCCACAGGCAACATTGGTCCTGCGGCGGTGGCCCCCCCGGAACGTCGGGAGCGCAGGCGTGAGCGCATGTCGGTGGGGAAGGCGACGGCGGCGACGGCGCTGTCTAGAGACGCCTGCTCGGGCAGGGCGCTGCCGCAGCCGCTTCTGCGGGCGGGAGCCCGGGCCTTGCCCTTGCCTTTCTTGTCGGGGGTAATTTCCTCTGCAGACGGCTGCCCCAGGATGTTGAGGCACTTTTCGTCGATGAGGTGCCCGCAGCGCAGGGCCCAGACGCGCTTGAATTGCGCCTCTTCGGGAACCAGCGCGGAGTTCAGGACGAGGGGATCGAGGCACTTTGCACAGACAAGCAGGGCGTTGAGCTGGCCTGATCCAATGGACTCCGCTTTGCTGGTAGAGGCCGACGAGCCCGGCGTGGACGCTGAATTATCGTCGTCATCCAAAATTATGGGTTCGTCGCGGGAGGTGGGTGGGAAGAAGCGGCCATTAGAAGTCTGCTCACCCTCTGCAGATAGCGCGGTGAAGTCATATGTGAACCCCGGCTCTGAGGGGACGGGGTGCGTGTAACTTTTCCGGTACTGCTCGTCTTTCGGCGGGTGGTGGTGATGGCGGTGCCATCCATGAGGTATGTGGTCCATGTCCTCGGCCATGAAAGGGTGTAACATCATGTGAATGTAAACGTCGTCATCCCTGTCCGTCACAGTGAATGGACTGATGAACCTTCCTGATGACCTGTACATTGCCACTGGGCCCCGCTGCCTTCTTCTTACGGCTGTTGCCGCAGTAAGGTCGATTTCTCTCTGACGCTGTACGGCCTGCGACCTGTTGGACGAGATGAGGGCACCCCCGAGACCCATGGCTGGCGAGTGATGCGAGGGTGGCGCTCCGCGTTCAGGTATAATTCGCGTATTGGGATTCGATGGCCCAGCAACTGGCGGCATCGATGCCCTTTCGAATGCCAGAGGTTCCGCAATGGGAATGACAGGGGGATGTGATTGCTGCTGCCTCATTGGGAAGGACGTAAGCCCCGTGTAGCGTCGAGGGACGGAAGGCACCGGAGGAGGTGCACTGGGATCCCGCGGTGCTGGCGAAATAAACCTGCGATGGCTTTGATTCCGGTCTGCATCTGCGGACGCAGACATTTCTCATCAGCTGCGTGTACTTTCTCCATACAGACAGGTTGACTGACCATGTCCCGAGCGTATCCGCGAGGCCACAATTTCGACCTCGTCGTCGTCGCTGTCCAGTATCGATATGAACTCCTGGTTGCTCGGTTCGTTACGACCTCTGGGTCGTGGGGCTGGGTTTCGACGCTGCGAGGTGGCTGGTATCTCCTCATACGAGTCGACATCAATGATTTCGATGATATTAGACAGCTGCTGGTGTTGATGAGAGCCTTGCGAGGGGAGAGCTCCCAGTGGACGCTCAACAGCTGTGGCCATGAATGAGAAAACAAACAAAGAAAGGGTTGGTGGTGGTCTGTGGTTGGTGGGATGGCAAGCACTTAAATTGTCTCCTCACGGCACGGGATTTGACATCACATGATCAATGATGTGGCTGTTGATTCCAAATTGATTCCAAATGAAGTCTCCCCCGAATGCCTAGGCCCTGACACTCACTGCCGGTGTTTTTCAAGCTTTAATTGCAAGAATATTGCATAATTTTCAGGGAAGCTAAGCCAGAAGTTTTAAGCAGAACCTCCTCAGAGTCAACTCAGAGTGGTTGTAAGTAGTACTTAGAGTGGCTCGCTGATCGCCGCTTCGGCAAGTTCCGTAAACTATTAAGAGAACACTTGAAAAGAACGCTCACAGCACTTGCACAGCACTTGAGTAGAGCACTGTGTACTTCCGGTGTAAGAGAAATCCTCTGACGTCCCATAGCGAGCAGTTTGTGCTTTGTTCAAGTAGTTGCATCGGGCGCACGGTGTTGACTTGAACGTATCATCGGCTGGTAGTCACCCGTACAGCAACAAAATAGTCTGAGTTTGGCGAGGGGATGGGGTAGAGGGGGGGGGGGGCGGGGGTAAGTAAGCACCTCCTCCAATGACAAAAGCCATGGCTCCTCTTGTGAGTCCTGTTTACTTCCCTCTAAAGTCTTTATTTTTTTGAAAATCGCTTGCGAGATAACAGGTTGCAGGAGACAAAGTAAGTCATCAATAATACGGTGGATGGTTGATCTTTATTGACTTCGCTATCGTCCGAAACGCCCGGCCCAATGTCATTGCTGCGTGTTACGATTTTATTAAATCTACAGGTAGATACGTAAGTGGTAACCACTGCTAACAATAAGTTACGCCTTATGTACCAAATATATCTAAATTGAGGAGAGTCAACGTACTCTTTAAAGTTACTCGAGCGAGTCACAGTCTCAGCCCGCCTTATAACAGCTTATTTCCGTGATGGGTTCCCCAAGGCCCCACAAAACTTAATCTGGAGTAGGAGAGCAGGTCGGGTGTATGGTACTCGGTGTCTATGGGTATATATATATTCCAAGCACTTCTGTATAATTCATTTAACAGAAACACATTGACAATAGCTAGTACTAAGTAGGTACGTACGAAATAATTATTCTCCAGGTAGGTAATGCCAAGTGAACGTTTGAGCCCATAACGCAACGGTCTCACATTTGGTTTGAGTCCTCTGACACTGCACCGTCAATAAATCTTAATATAGTACCTGACTACAACCATGCGGCGGCTGAACTTGCGTAAAGTACGTATATCCAAAAGGTTACGCGAAGATAATCGTTGGTCATCTATTATGAAGCAGGTTTGTTTATCTATCACAATGGCCACTAAGTCTAGTTAAAAGACCTTGGAGATATAAACCCGAGGTACTACTGCTGTTTCGCCAGGTGATAAACTATACTGAGGTGACGAGATTATTTGATCAAGTAGGATGGCCTTGAAATATCTAGCATGTATATATAGTAACACACAGTGCCACTCCACTCTCCGCCGATTGTAAGGACCATCCTACATAAGTATCTAAGTAAAGTATAATAAGAACGCAAGGTGAGCTCAGACCGTGAGCGGCGCCGTCCTGGTCGGAACGGCTTAAAGACCCAAAGACCCAATTGGACGCAGCATTGCTCATCGTATGTAAGTCAACTACGCCGCACGCGTATTTCGTATGAGCGGGAATTTATGACAATACAAAATCTATCAGTAGGCACGTATTGTACCGCGCTTCAGTTCCGCATGACCTAGCTTCGATAAATATACACCGCTATCATCATTGTCAACCAGCGGAACCATGAAGCAGATATTCGGCAAGAAATGTGGCGTCCGTGCACAATTCTATACAAAGCGCCCAGCAGCTTGGCGATCTATTTATTTGCAGAGCTGCTGTCAGGAGACCGGTGACCGCACCTCGCAGAACATGACGCCCGAATTGGCTAATTTCCTCCGCATGGGGATTGAGGCGGAAGCGCTCATGTCAAGCACTATCAATGGAGATGGGCACCGAGAGTACTACACTTTGAGCTACGATCCAATACAGTCAGGCAGAGGTAAGTAATGATTACGATGAAGAATTTACAAATCGATCAGAGGAGGTGTAAAATCAGCATCTCTGATGGTAGTGGGCGTATGCCGGACGTATATAAAGGAGCAACGGTTGAAAGAACTGTACCATTTATCCCCACAACTTATAGCTCAGATATGAACACAATCGTGAGCCCAACGTTTCGAAGATTCTGAGATTTTTTGAATGATGTGTCGTTATTGCAGCCCTCTCACACAAGGGTTCTCGTTATCGGCGGTGGTCCAGGTGGAGCGTATACGGCCACCGTTCTTGCCAGGGAGCACGTGGAAGTCACCGTTCTCGAAGCCGCTCAGTTCCCTCGGTATGGACTAGAAAAACGGAGATAGGGTATGCCCTAACTTATGCCATACTATTTCAGCTATCACATCGGGGAGAGCATGTTACCTTCTATCAACCACTTCTATGAATACATTGGAGCCGACGAGAAGCTCCGTAGTTTCGGGTTCGCCAAGAAGGTCGGTGCTGCCGCACGCTTTAAACAGAACAAGAGAGAAGCCTGTATGTCCTGTTCATCATCGATGTCTAGTATGATTCTAACTTTTCTCAGATACCAACTTCATTGAACACGACCCTCGCAACGCTGCAGTTAATGTCGTAAGAAGCATTTTGTGTATTATATTCAGTTCGGAAATATTGATTATTACATAGG